CTCACACACACACACTCTTATACACATATCCATCTCCATCCATCCATCTCTCCCTCCACACACCAGCATGGTTAGATCGCGAGAGGGAGAGATGCACAATGCATTCCAGAGATTAAATTTTCTGTTTTGCCCAGCAGGCCTCAAACACACACAATACCATACACACACACACACACACACACCGGTTTCTACTCTAACTCTGTGTTCATTCTTCTATCATCCTTCTGTCCTATTTATTAACTGATTGCATCAGAATTATTCCAGTGTAATAACTTAATTCATATTTTATTAGTTGTAGTTTGTTGAAATGAATCTTGGTCCAGACCTTTCTTGACTCCCTTTAAATGCTGTGTTTCAAAGGGGAGTCTTAGTGTCACATGTTGACTTAATGCTGTTTCTAAGAATTTCATTAGTATCGGTTTCAGCAGGATTTTAGTGTCACACGGTTTAAGTACCGTTTCATAGAATTTCATTGGGTTTCAGACATGAGTCAAGTAGCATTTACAGATATTAGGCACAGTTGCTTTGGGTTTGATGCATAGAGCGGTGTTTACTGCCACTTGTTCACATGACTAGTGCTTACATGATCATTACATGGTTTTATTCTTGATTATGTTTATATGTAATTATAGCAGGTACTTGGTGATGTAGAGATTCAAGATCATTCAATGTTACAGTTTATGTTGCTATTAAAAGCTGTAAAATAGAAACGTATTTTCCATGATCAACCGATAACTTGTCAATATGTAAATTGTTTTGATAAGGCCTCTCACATCATCATCGTCTGTCACATAACGGGTCTGTGACAGACGTCCAGACATTTGTGGATAAAATTAAGGAATGTAACTTCCTGCAGCCATCAGACTTTTGTTCTTAGGTAGTGCCTTGCTCGGAGGCACAGACACAGAACCCCCGTTAAGGTCACATTCTCACATTCTTTGGGGCGTTCAGAATGCAACTACACTGTGAGTTTCTGTATGCGGCCCATGTGCTTGACCAAGTATAGGAAAATACCGCAGATGTTTTCAGCTGTCCCAGGACAAGAAGAAAAATGCACTCTTTCATCCTCTTTCCTTCCACTTTCACCACGCTCCCTGCCCTGTCTGTGAGTCTGTCGGCAAAATGCCACTGTCATTTGGTATGTTAGGCCGAGACTGGGCTGCCTAACTGAGAAGAAATGAATATTATTTATGTCATTCTTTCTCATCTTTTTCTCTCTTTTCCACCCTCTCTCTGTCTGACCTTCTGTCTGTCTAAAGGGCACCGTTGTGTGTTTGTGTGCGTGCACGCACACATGGATGTGTGCTAAATGTCATTGTCATAGTTGAGTGTGGAGGTTTTTATGGATAAGCCTCCCATCGGGCCTATGAAGGAATGTGTTGCCCAGAGACAGATGGAGAAATTGAGAAAGGGAGCAAGCGAATAATGGAACAGATGTAGATTAAACGGAAGAAACAGAGACGCATTGATAGAGGTTTGAACAAGGACTTTATTAGTGTCTCACTAGACCATAAACAGGGTACACTTATTCTTGTGATCATATTTCTCAAGCTTTAAAATGACATTTGAAACTTGACAACTAGAAACATTATTTAGTAACTTTAAATATTGTTTTTCCATCACAATGTACAAACTTTAATCTTTGTGTTTGAATCTCTCTCTCTCTCTCTCTCTCTCTCTGCAGAAACGTGCTAAGGGTCAGTACTTATTCTTCAAGGTGTGTGAGCACCTCAATCTACTGGAGAAAGACTACTTTGGTCTGACGTACACGGACAGCCATGAACAGACGGTATGTATTGTATGCCAAATAAGTCAGCAATGTTCACATATAGAAACTCCAGACATGGACGTCTGTACAGTGTCTTGTGACACTGTTTCCTGATAGAGGTTAACTTTCTTCCTGCTCTGTTTCTCTGTACCTCTCTCTTGCTCACTCCAGTGTTGGTTGGATCCAACGAAGGATATCAAGAGACAGATACGCAGTAAGTTTTATTTTTTCATCCATCTCTAGCTTCCTCAGCCTGCAGGATGTTTCACATAATACAGGGGCCCCAACTTCTTAGCCACAAGGCACTGAATTAAATATAAATATTAAATTAATAAAAGAGTTCAAGTATCCCCAAGGGAAAAGCATCACAGTTAAGTCAAACAAAGCCAGAGACACTTGAAACCAAACGACAGCCGTCTTGCCAGAGCTGGCAGTGTGGAAGAGGTTAAGTGTGATCGCTCTGCTTCATTATTCATCGATCTCTTTATTACCTGTTGTTAATTTATAAATGCGGTGCGAGGCGTGTCATCTCCTCTTTTGTTGATAGACAGCTATCAAGCGTGTGGCGCAACCAAGCATAGTTGAGGCTTATTTTTGAATGCACACAATTAAAAAGGTATCCTCCTCACATTATTACAGATTACAATGGCAAACAGGACCTTTGTTAGAATTTAGATCAGTCAGGTTGCTGCTTTTCCAGTTTGTCATGCATTGTTGAATATTTGATTAGAGGATTGTTTTTTTTTTTAATGATTAGTTCGTGTGTTTTTGAAGAATATGCCAATAATTCTAGCTGATTTTTCTACAAGAAAAGCTTTACTTCTTTTCTTTTCCTGCTTATTTCTCGCGTCTCCTTTTTTATAATACAAGTCAGAGCAGGCATTAACGCACAACCTAAAGCTTAAAGTCACACTTTTAAGAGGATGCCCTAGTAAAAACATATCATTTTGGCATCATAAAATGTTATTTTAGAATTAGTACATGAGGTAGTTTCGTCTGGGTGTATGCAGACTGCGTGTGGTTTCGTGTGTATGTGTAAGCAGCGCAGAGTGTGTGGTGAACATGCATGCCTGTGTTTTTGTGGCTGTGTGTGTGCCGGTGGTTCATGGATGAGTGGTATGCAACTGGCCACATGTGTTCATTTGTGTACATTTTTCTGTGTGCACGAATGTTTGCAGTGAGAGAAAGATCATGTGTGTTGGCTATTTCTGCCAGACACACAAATGACAGGTTTGACACTATTCTGCTCTAAACTACAATCAGTGTACGCTCGGCCGTCACAACCCTGCGTCACTACATACTGGGCTGGGACCTAAACATTTTTCATTGAATGTTTTTATGGGTCCTTGAATTATTTTGGAGAGATCAAAACTGCTGCATGTGCTGTACTTTTAAAGCCTTGCTAGACCACCCTGTGATCTAAAATAGAGCTGTTGCAATCATCATCTGTAAGAAGAGGACTGTAGCAATGTGGGTATGGAGGTTCTGTCTATGCTCTTGGAGACTCCTATCAGGGCTTCAAATTCAATTCTTTCCTCAGTGTCCCACAACTGTCCCAAATTATACTTTCAACTATCCCAGACATAACAGAGATTGTACCAAATGGACGCTCTTTTTTCTTTCTATGTGGTAAATGTAGTTTAATAACAGGTTCAGTAACACACTTAATTGACTCAGTCTGGTCCTCCATGGAAGTTTTTTCCTGCACTTATAGCTGAACACCCTAGGTGTTTGGCCACAATCAGTTTTCATTAGTCACTGGTTGAGTTACTTGTTTATTTCTAACTGTTGATTAATAAATTAATTAGTGCAAACTGCAATGTAAATGCAAATACCTGTTTCTAAATGGTAAACGGCAATGGAAATTTACATACACGCTCTTTATTTTATACATAATTATTATTTAGCCAAATAATCACAAACTCACCACAGGTACATCATTTGAAGTCAAAAACATCTAAAAAGAATCTACAAAGGGAGGAAGAAGATCAAACGGACTATTTAAATAATTACAAGCTCAAACTATCTATTTACATATAAACTACAGGAACACCCTAATTCAGAGATCTCGACAGGAAGAGTGAGAGAGAAGGTCAAATGTGCTCCACACGCCACACCTACTGACTGCCTTAACACGGCGAAAGAGGAGACAGAGAGGACCCCAGTGACCTTACATTTTTTTTAAATTTAAACACCTAATAATTAAAATTAGATATATTCCATGATACGTAAACGTAATAATTTCATTCGTAAGGTTGCAATTCTTAACTGTCCCAGAATTGTCCCAGACTGTATCTTTGTGTCCCAGGTGCTATATTTATTGTCCCTGGGACAACGGGACATCCTTCGTTTCTCGCGGTGATTCCTACTTAGAGTACAGCTTACTATGGCCTCATCATGGTTTGCGGGTGGGGTCAGATCATGTAAAAATGAGCTTAATCTGATTAAAATAAAATGGATGATCAGCCACACAAAGGGATGGTGAAGAAAAACATGTAGGTTAGTTGATGGAAAGTTGGGAAAATGTAAAAATGTGGCAGCACAGCTAAAAAAGTAGGAAAATAAGGAGAATTTAATCCACTAAGCTGAAAGAGCCAATAAAAATCAAGATTGAAACCAAATATCTTAGCTATCTGCAGTCACATCCACCATAAAAAACAACACGGAAGTTAGCTCTTTCTCAGATTTCACTTTGACAGATAATGATAACAACATTTCATCTCACTCTTGAAGTAAGGCAGAATGTCACTGGAAGTCGAGCAGGAAGGTTGAGAGTCTGGATTTAGTCCAGTCAGTAGACTTCTTCAGTGCGTGTGGCTGCTGTTAATGTTTAACTGCAGCACACATGTTCTCTACATAATCAAACTAACTTTTACAGTGCCGGGTGTCTCACCGTGCTGATACTGTCAGTCCACTGTCGTAGAACATTTGTAGCCAGTTCAGTTTAGCTTAGTTTAAATAGGTTTAATAGTTTAAACCTATTTAGCCTATACGAAGTAATATGATTATACGGGTAAATATTTGATCATTTATGGTAAAATTCCTACATTCCTCCAAGTCAAACATTTAATTAAACATATGTTTTTTTAATGTTCTTTAATGTTCTATAGAAAGATATGCTTTAAAGGAATAAGTCACCCGCAAAAAACTGGGTGGGAAAGATCTGTGGATGTGATGAAGGTTAGGAAGAAGCCAGGGGGGAAGGTCAAGAGAAAGTGCCAATATGAAGGGAGTGGAGGAGAAGTGAGGAATTGTTGCCAGGAAGAGTGTAGTGGATCTACTGCAGGGAGGAGAGGGATAGGATGTATGTGTATAACAGTAACAGTATGTGTATATTCTATGCGTCATGTGGCGGATTGATGGCTGGCACGCGGTTGTGTAGAAAGATGAACTGGTCACCAGACTCCCAAAGCACTTAGTGCTGCCAACAATACATAAAAACTCAATCTCACTCCCAGACACATCAACACACTTCCATACTCACACAGCAACACACACACTCAGGTTAGGAAACAGGACTATCTGCACTCAAGATTCCCGTGGAAAGAATAAGAAAAACCACTATATCAGCATAAAATGGAAAACTGATATTTCACCTTGTTTTCACCTCATGCGTTGCATCTTATTCAGTTAGCCGCAGTGAGAGCGCCATTGTTGAGTTTCCTCGTGTCATTTCACAGTGTCCACTATTCTTCCTGCTCCTTTGGGATGCAGCTGTGAAGACTCTACGTCTGCACGTCTGGGAGGTTTTGTTGCTGCGTGTGCACGTGCGCATGTGTGTATACATAGATGTGTGTCTGACCTTGGAGGAGGAAATGGTCTCGGTGTGATGTCAGCTTTTCCCGGATGGAATTTTCCAGATGATGTGATCTCCATCTTTATTTGAGTGTGTGTGTGTGTGTGTGTGTGTGTGTGTGTGCATGCATGAGTACGTGTGTGTG